CTTGCAATGCAGAGTGGTGCACTTTTACCATACTCTAACATGTCTAATTATAAACAAGGATTATAAAACAATTAAAATTTGAATATTACAGTAACTTGTCAAATTTTTGTGATGAATCATATCTGCAGACTGTAAAATCAAGACTTTTTACTTGGAACCATAAAATCTTTGATTCCCTTCCAACTTGCAAAATGATCTTATTGCCATTATGAGCACTCAAAAAATCTAATATACCTAATAATATTAATTTATATGAATAATTAAAGAGGACTTTTCTTGCTTCAGATATCTTTAGTAAAAACAAAAACAACAAAAGTAATTAAAGAGCAAAAAAGGTGTCTTCATAATACGCACCCCTGACACTAACATTTCCAACCATTAGAAACCATTAGCAACATCAGAGACAACTCAGCAGCACTCACCTGCTCTTTTCCCTCCTGCTCACTGCTGAATTTAATGACTTTCTGGCAGTACTCCATCCTTGCTTCCAGGGGCACCATCTTAGCACCTTCACTTGACAGCACCAACTGCTTCACAAACATCGTAACATCACTTGGATTCATCTTCTCCATGTACTCCTCACATGAATTAAATCTGCAAAGAAATATCCAGTTGACTGCATTTTGTAACATTATCCACCACTATTAGTTAAAATATATAAACCATATAGCAAAAATCATAAATATCTGATATTATGTATCACAGCATCTTACCTTGTAATCCATGCATTTGCAGTCTTAGGTTTCCTGTCAGAAGAAAAATCAAAGAAATACTTCTGGGCCCAAGCACAGTAAATTGTACTTGGGTTGATTCCAGCATCCTTCATACTGGGAACATTTTTTGCCATTTTTGCAAGATTGTTGACATTCTGAGCTGTTAGGACAGGGCGCAACAGAGCCATGACATCTGTATCTGACTTCAGGAGCAGCTTGTAATTAAGTCCTTTGGCAGAACCCTTCAGTTTTTTCAAGAGTTTGATGTGGGATGCAGCTGCTTTGGCCTCGGCTTTCTTACCTCCACACTGCTCAATCAGAGTGTAATAGAGCAAGAGACGCTCATGGTCACATCCACTCACTGTCAGGAAAACAGTCTGCTCCATTCGGGATATGAACTCTCTGGGCTCTTTGCTCAGTTTCTCCACCAAGTTCTTTTCTTCTATGCACTGCTTGATGTCATTAGTAGAAATATCTGAATCAAATAAATGCTGCAAATAGGTCATATAAACCTGCCACAGAGAGACTTCATACTTCCTTGCTAATGTTAGAGCCAAGTCAAGCACCTCATTGTCATGAGTCATGGCCAGGCCTAAAACTGTATCCTCCTTATAGCTGCTGTCAACCAAGAACCTGTCAATGTCAACACCAGCTCCCAATCTCTGAAGAGCTTGGCCTTGTACATAGTCTGAGACGAGATCTTGGGTACTCTTGAAAAGCTCCACATACTGACAAAGCTGACTATTGAGCTTTGAAGAGTCTAATTCTTCAACCAGGCTTGCAACACTATCAATGACACCATTGGGGTCATGCAAGAAGACTGGGGCAACACTTGGCTGTGTCCATGGGTGCAAACTCGTATATATTTGTAAAGCATAGTAGTAGAGTGTCATCTGTTGGGAAAATGTGCTAATTAGTATAATCATATTAAGAAGCCTCACTAACTGTCTGATGAGCTATTCATTCCCCCATTAAAAACTAACTAAAAATAATAATACATACTGACATAATAAAAAATATCATATGACCAAATGCATCTCAGTTTCTATTGCTTCTTTAACAAAGAATCCTTACCTGTAAGGAAACATCTGTGCGTGGGAGGCTAGAAAGCACATCCTTGGCATCCTCTGGTTCCTGAAGCATCAACAGAAGGAAGAGACCTAATGGCAAGTCCTCTTTCAGTACTGCTCGTGCAACTTCAGCAACAACTGAAAGTAAGCAAAAATGTCAATCAGAAATGAATGCAAATGCAAAATACTACAACATGACCACCCAAACAGAGGAGGCCTGAAGTGATCCAAAATGAGGAAAACAATCTTAAAGTATTCTTGTCCTGGCTTGTAGGTCTGCAGCAACCATGACCAGCAACCTGCACAACTCAGCTCTGCATACTTCCCAGGCTGGGTCATGCTAGTCCAATAGCCTCATCCTTGCTCTCTCAGCAGCGACTAACTGCCAAGACCTGACTGGTTGACACGGACACCTCGCTGCTCTCTGACTGGACTGCAGCCTCCCCTTGTTTTGGGTCATTGACACAGCTCTCAAATACTTAATCTGGAACCAAGATCTACTTATGATCCTCCAACTGCACCTCAACCAAGCAGCAGCAACACAGGATTGCCCAGTCTTATGCTAACTGGGGGCCTCTCTGGCTCCCCCATAGAACTCCACATCACCAACAACACCTATCCATAACAGTGGGAAGTGACACCCTCTACAAACACTCCCTAAAGAGAATACAGAGACCAGTTCAAGTGGTAGATACAACTACTGCAGGTCATTATCAC